TCTTATATCCTGGCGGTACGTTCGGTGAAAACTCATGTATCGTGTGCACGCTTGTCTCGTTACTGTACGCACCCGTAGTCACGTTGCACTCGATGCGAATGATGTTTACGTTGATGATATTTATCGGCGTGTCTGATTCATGCCACTGTTGCGGCTCCAGGATACGATTCGGTGAAAATCCCAACAACGATCCAATGTTGTTAGGTTTGGTGAAATTTATTCGATAAAAGCACTTTATTTCACTTTTCAGCGTGTTGTTGTTGGCACGAATAGCCAACGAGCTCTTGTTCTCTTCGTCTTCATCGGTCTTTGCTTTCTTCGTCGCAGCATCGTTGGAACGAGATTGAAAAATTGCGCGTTTCAGATACTTTTCTATGTCATGTATTTCATATGATCCTTCAGGAATTATAATTTCCTTATCGTCTTTGTCATAGTAAAATTTATTATTTGACTTATTTACATTGGGTATCGTATAATAGGTTTCAAAGTCTGTCAGACCGAGTTCGTAATCACCGTCACTCAAATCTATGGCCGGAAAGTAGCTTGCTGTGAGGACGCTACTCTTGCGAGACAGTGTAAACGTCAGTGACATGTTTGAACAAATACTGAGTTAAACAGCGTAAAATCAATCTTTAAATTGATCGGCAACAGTTTGTAAAAATTGCAGACACAGCTGTCCGCAATTGCTTTGATCATAACGTTGGTGAGACGTGTGATTGTACTCGATTTGAGTTACGCCGTTATTTAAATATCGCACCAATTCCTTCGGCGGTCGAAGATTTCCAAAACTGTCGAAATATATAGCACGTTTTCCCCTCTTCGCATACGCTACCCAATGAGTACCTGGTCCTTCGGCATCGTCTAAATTCACGATACCACTCTCGTTTCGGTATACTCCATCTGTTGGTAAGGTAGTACGCATGAAAACACCTCTAAAATATGGAATGCGCAAACGTTTTGCCAGTTGCTGCAGTTGTATGTTGGTAGTTACGCCCTTGGGCACTTCTAGTATTTTTTTGACTTTTTTTTTTTCTCGTCGAAACTCCTTGTCCACGCTTATATGGAGCAAGGTAAAGTCCATGACCTTCCATGACGCGATTATGACGTTTCAGTTCTTCCAGTTGACGCTGCATGACTTTATTATCGTTCACCGCCTTCGCTACTCCCGCAGCTCCGCCAATCATAGAACCGAGAACTCCCAATATTGGTAGAATTGGCAACATACCACCGCGTTTCGCAACCGATAGTATTCGCTTGCTCGTTGCACTTTTTTTCTTCTTCGTCTTCGTCTTTGTCTTCAAACCCATACCGAACTTTGTTTTAGCCTTCATAGCGGCCCAAACGGTCGTAGCAGCAGCCTTTTCTCCGAAAGTCGAATCTTTCGCGGTAATGCGTTTCCGCGCTTTCGTGGCGAGTATCTCGTCAGCCACGTGTCGTTTAGCGAGGTCGTTATTATGTGAATAAGCTATGTCGTGCTCGCGACACGCTTCATCCAGCGGGTTAATGCCCTGATCACCTCTGGCCAATCGTCCTTTTAAATGCGTTCCCGGACCGCAAAACTGATATCCAGGGATATGCAGTTCAAAAGGAAGTGCGTTTATCGCGCGGTTTAACAAACCACGACCTTTCGCCGACATTCGCTGCAATTCTTTACAAACGGTGCAGGACCGTCAATGTGTGTCCGCTGCCACGGTTGATTGTAATGTTTCAGACATCGACGATACTGTTGAACCTCCGAATCAGCTTTTATATGTTCGGGTAACCTGCTCCACAATTGATCGATACAATTGTAAAACTCTCGCAACAGAACAACTTTTGGTATGTACTCTAACTGTTCGGCAGTTAAATTGTGTATGTCGCGGTTATCCGATACGATGAGAAACATTTCGGCTACTGATCTGTTTCAATCTACGCGCCTCTATAAATAGGTCCGCTCTCGGTATTGTTTTTTTCAGTTTATTGGTGTTGGAGAGAAGGAAACATGCGGTTTGTGCGACAGTCGCAGACGATTAAAGTTATAAATTTCGACAACAAGATACAGCTAATACCTAAGAAGATACGTAAGCATGGAAACATGCTACCGACTTCTATACGCGGTATTATATGTGGTCCGTCAAACTGTGGCAAGACAAACGTATTGATAAGCTTGCTGGAAAGTCCGCACGGTCTACGCTTTGAGAACGTGTACATATACTCGAAATCATTGCAACAACCGAAATATCAATACTTGGAGAGTATACTGTCACCGATAGAAGAAATTGGTTATTTTACATTTTCCAATAACAGCGACGTCGTTCCACCGAATGAGGCGCTTCCAAATTCCATTTTTGTCTTTGATGACGTGGCATGTGACAAGCAAGACGTCATAAGAGAATACTTTGCAATGGGCCGCCACGCACATGTCGACTGTTTCTATCTCTGTCAGACGTATGCAAAGATACCGAAGCATCTTATACGTGACAACGCAAATCTGTTGATCCTGTTTAAACAGGATGGAACCAATCTGAAACATGTATACAATGATCACGTAAACACTGACATGTCATACGAAGATTTCTGTGAATTATGTCGTACTTGTTGGCAGCAAAAACTGAGTCGACAAGGCACACAGGGGATA